CCTTCTTAGACAAATCCCCTCAACTTCCCCCATCATCAACCTCTAAACAAACTTTCCAGGCCATATTACAACGTTACTCCCTGATTGACACTTGGAGCGAACTCAACCCGACAAAGCGCCAATACACTTTCTACTCTCATCCTCATTAGACCTTTTCAAGAATAGACCACATCTTCATGACCACTAGCTCCTCCCCCCGGCTTTTAGCCTCTGATATCATCTCCATTCCCTGGTCAGACCATAGCGCTGTCAATCGCCTCTTGGATCATCAACGATAATCTGTTAGCAAATCCGACACATTGCTCAGATATCGAAGCCGCTCTTAAAGACTATCTAGCTATCTAAACAAGACCCCATGTATTTCCCCTCTCCTACTTTGGGAAGCACATAAACCAGTTCTACGTGGGTGCTGCATTAGCAAAGCGTCTTTTTTAAACAAAGAGAAAAGACAACAACGCCACCTTCTTGAACAAACTTATAGCCAATCTCATCAAGCCTTCCAGGCGACCCCTTCCCCAGCCAACCGAGAAGCCCTTGAGCGGTCTCGACTGGCCTGTGATCTTCTCCTCATGGATCAAGTGGAGCTATCACTCCGCAGATCCCGACATAAATACTGTACAAAAGCGAATAAACCTGGTAACTTTTTAGCTCTCTCGTTTCACAGGCTTGATCAGATCACCAGACCTATCCGACTACGTACCTCATCTGGCAACCTCACTAGCAATTAGGAACGCATTCTATAAGTCTTCCACAAACATCTGTCACAACTCTACTCTTCCTCTACACCCTTTGACCCCTCCCAGGATGACACTCTTTTAGCATCCCTCTCCCTCCCGAAGTTATCGGCCCACCAGTTAACAGCTTTAGAACAGCCAATTACCCCAGCTAAAACCTTAACTGCTATTAAATACTTAAAACCCCGTAACCGCCCAGGACCAGATGGCTTTTCTGCCACCTATTACAAAAACTTTGCCCACCTCCTAATGCCAGTCCTTACTGATGCTTTCAATGGCATACTATCGGGCCATACCTTCAACCCAGAAGCACTACAGGCCAACATTTCTATGATCCTAAAACCTAATTCTGACGACACACACAGTGGTCCAATTACAGGCCAATCTCTCTTCTCAATACAGATATCAAACTGCTAGCAAAAATTCTTTCCACGCACCTCAACTCATGTATAGAATGCCTGATCCACAACGATCAAGCGGGCTTCATTCCAACTCTACAAGCCGGTGATAGCGTCAGACGCGCAACCCTTTTAGCACATTTAGCTAGATCCTGCAATATCCCCACCTGTTTCTTGTCCCTAGACATCCGGAAGGCATTTGACACAGTTTTGTGGCCCTATTTGCACTACATCCTGCGCCGATGGGGCTTTGGCCCTCACTTCTTATCCTGGATCTTTTCACTATACCATGAGCCCTCAGCCAGAATTAAATACCTAGGACATAGGTCTGCTCAATTTCCAATCTCCTGAGGCACCAGGCTGCCCTTTATCCCCCCTTTTTTCGCCTTGGCCATAGAACCATTGGCCCTTCTAATTAAGGCTAATCCGGATGTTCGTGGCCTCAAGATTGGCAGCTCTCATCATAAATTATGTCTTTTTGCGGATGACGTTCTACTCTCTCACTTCTCCTCTGATATCTTCTCCTCCTCTCCTCCGGCTCCTTGAACGGTTTGGCTCACTTTCTGGCCTCCTAATTAATCCCCAGAAATCAGTAGCACTTAATATATCCCTTCCCCCTAGAGATCTGGCCCATTTGAAACTGATCCTCCCGTTTTCCTGGTCACAGCACTCTATTCCTTTCCGCGGTATAAAAACTGACTCCCAACTTATCAGATCTATATGCTGCAAACGACGCACCTATGTTAACCCATCTCACAGCCCTTATGACCAAATGGTCTTTTTTACCACTTGCTTGGCTGGGTAGGATAGCTGTCGTGAAGATGTCAATTCTTCCCAAAATTTTATATCTATTTCGAGTTCTTCCAATCTCGGTACCCGCACATTATCTTCGCGTCTTACAGCGCTGCATTTTTTCCTACGTCTGGGGCTCCGTTCGCCCCCGAATACCTCGCTCAACCCTGTATCGTCCCAAAACTAGTAGCGGTCTTGGTCTCCCCGATGTTACCAAAAACTATCAGGCGGCACACCTAGCACAGTTACCCAAGTACCATGCGACCCACGAAATCCCTCATTGGGCTGTCCTCAGATCTATAGATTGTGACCCTCTGTCCACTGCTAACCTTTTATGGTTAAGACCTGTAGACGTCGATCGCTAACAAACCTCATCGCATCTCACTTTGTCACTCTGGGATAAACTGAAATCCCGTTATCTCCTGCAATCACTACATAACCCTTTGCTCTCATATCTCTGAAATCCGGCCTTTCCCCCAGCATGGTCATCGCCACTCTCGTTCACACATTGGACCTCAGCCAACTCCTACAGACCCACCATTTCCTGCTAAGGAATAAAATTAAATCCTTCACCTCACTGCGCGAGACACATGGCCTTCCAGCTTCCGAAATATTTAGATACTTGCAATTGCAACGCTTTTATGCTCCATACACTACAACACTAGCCAGATCAACACTATGTCTCCCTTTGAGCGGGCTTGTCACAAAGCCCCCATAGACGAAGCCTCATCTCATGCTTGTACTCCCTTCTAACAACCTCAGCCACCATGTCTTCTCCTTCATACACCCGCTAATGGGAGGCGGACCTTGGCTGACAATTGGACCCCTCTGAGTGGGACAATATATGGTATAATACCAAATCGTCCACACAAAATATAATAGCTCTAGAAACCAATTATAAAGTCTTAACCCACTGGTACTTGGTCCCAGCGAGAATTGCAAAGTACACACCAAATGACTCCCCCGCTTGCTTTAGAGGCTGTGTAGACCCGGGTACACATTTCCATATCTGGTGGGATTGCCTGATAGCCCAAGCCTTCTGGGCTGACGTCTTTGGTATTTTGTCCAGACTTAGCGCAAAAACGCTTCAGCCAGACCCAGTCACAGCTCTGCTGAATTTACGCCCCTCGGGGTCACCAATTCACAATTCAAACTTATCCTGCAAGTTACCACGGCAGCCAAACAGGTCACTCCCTAAGCATTGTAGTTGTTAAAAATAGAGTTACACAAGCTATGATTCACTCTAAAGTGGAAGCTACAATTTTAGACACTATCCCTAAATTCTTGAATGTTTGGAACTCATGGGTTGAGTGTTTTCTCCCGTCAAACTTCGACAACTCACTTCTTACTCCATGATAAACCTCCTTACTTTATGCTACCCTGGTACCATCTTATACCTGCGCCACACATTATTCCATCTCTTGTAACCATTTGTGTAGCCATTCACTCCCCCCCTCCCATTCCCACTTTCCTTCGGACCTTCCCTACTTGTGTCCCCTCCTCCTCCCCCCCCCCCCCCCCCCCCTCGTTTCCCTTTTTTTCTTTTCCCCTATGACCCCTCTCCATATGCCATCCTGCATACTTTCATGTCCACATGTTCCTATCCCCTTATACAGCATTGGGGAGTATGTTTCTCCTTCTTTCCAAATTCTGCTTGTAATTACGCATAATGTTTTTGCTCACCTTCTGCCATTTGTAATGCCAAACTGTTCTACCAGCATTTTCCTCCTCTCCCCCTTCCGTATATAGACATAAATACTGTGGATACTGCTGTTTATGACCTTATGTTTGCTAAAGATCTTTTACCTTTGTCGTTTCCCTTTGTTAAAATGACAATAAAATATTTGAACTAGAAAGGGGGAAACCCAGTCTTTGGTAATGTCCATGGATTCCAGACTTCAGACAGTCATTGCCAGTAAAGGATTCTCAACAAAATATTAAAAACGAACATTTTATTTATGATTATATTCATTTGTCCAATTACATTTGAGCCCCTGAAAATGGAGGGACTGTGTATACAAATGGTTGCAGTTCCTAAAATTTGTACTTGATATTTATGTTCAACCCCTTGAATTGAAGCTGAAAGTCTGCACTCCAAATTCATTTGGATTGTTTTGTTTTAATTTATTCTGGTGTCATACAGAGCCAAAAGTATAAAAAATTATGCATGTGCTCAAATATATATGGACATAAATGTATATTACCCAACTGGTAACATAAAAGACAATGTTATGCCAAGTAATTCGATACCAAACATGTCATGCTTTCAAAATTGCAAACACCCATGGAACAGCATCCAACTACGGTACCTAAAAATCTCCATAAGCCCTGCTTTAAAATCCTATGCAGGTTACCAGTTTAGCATTGCGGAAGAGGTATTGCACTAGAATTATTGCTCTTTTTCTGGTGTTCTCTGAAATATCTCACATATGTGGTGCGATCGCCATTTACATATGTGTACAGGACCGACACACGCGGCACTTTTGCGCTTGGGCACAGCGGGACTGGGGCATTTAACATTTTTTTAATGTACTTGATTTTTTTTTTAAAAATTAAGTGTACCTTTAATTTTTTGTTCAACTTTATTGCCATCACAATGGATGAACAACATCCCTTGTGATAGCATGGATCATGACAGGTCTTCTTTACTGGAGGGATCAGGGGTCTATGAGACCCTGGATCAGTCCTCTGGTCTCCAAAGCATCTGCTCAAAAACCAGGACTGGTTTGATCAGATGCTTTCACAAGCAAGTAATAGCTTGTTTACATGAGACTGAAACCAGAAGTGATTAAATCCTCATCGCTTCCAGTTTCTGATGTCACACAGAGGGAGGAACAACATCCGTTCTTCTCACTGTGTCCCAGGAACTGGATGCTGCTGGTAGCATCCTTACCGGGCTTCCTGATGGGACGGGGACAGGAAGTGGTTAACTGTTAGAAATGTATTCATTCAAGAAAACCTTTTCACCCGTATGGCCATCTTAAAACTGAAACTGCAATTTTTGGTGGACTCTCCCTCATGTGAAATTCTTCTTTGCATTTGCAAAATCAATGACTGCTATTTATCTTTCTTACAGTTGGAAAGCCGATCAAAGTGACAGAAAATGCGACCCCATCGGATGAAGAGGTGGACAAGCTGCACAAGCTCTACACGGAGAAACTGAGTGAAGTGTTTGAGGAACACAAGACTCAATTTAACGTCCCAGCTGACAAACATCTAACCTTCATATAATGACTGCAGGAGGCCCAAGTGACTCCCATGTACACTCAATATTGACACAAGGAGAGCCTAAAGTTATATAGCCCAATCTTTGTTAAAGAGAACCAGTTACCAGTTGGATTCGGTGATAATCCAAACCTCTACTCTTGTGATAGTATAATAGTGCAGCATTTCTTCTCAGGGGTTACCGGTTTTTCTTTTTTACCTTGTATTCTCTCCCTGACAGAGTTGAGATATCGGGCTGTAAGGTTTTCTAAATACTATTCGAAATTATAGCAGACAAAGAAGTGTAATATACCAAAGTTACCATCAGGGTTTATTGGAAGAAAACCTAAGACTTAGGTGATTGATAATTATCAGTGTTGAGCTCAGGTAAGAGACATCACCCTTTGTGGGGTCCTTACAGCCTGAGATGTCTGCAATGACAGGGAGAGAATACAACTTTCTGGTGATGTTCTGAGATCCCATTTGTGATGGAAAAATGGTTGAAATTGGTGGAAAATGGTTGAAATTGGTGGGAAATTAGCATGTGTACTAACACCTTCAAAACAGGATGAGCTGTACACAGAGCCTGTCAATAGTCATATAGCCTAACCTTTGCAAAAGAGAACCAAATACCAGTCATCATCTGTGATAATTCAAACCTCCAGTCTTGAGATAGTATATTAGTACTGTCCTTCGGGTATTGCCTGTTTTTTCTTTTTATTTGTGTTCTCTCCCTCAGTTCTCTCAGAGAAGTTGAGTGAATTGTTTGAAGAACTCAAAACTCAATTTAATGTCCCAGCTGACAAACATTTAACCTTTGTATAATGACTGCAGAAGGCCCGCGTAACTCTCACGTACACTCAATCTTGACATAAGGAGCACCTAAAGTTATACTGTATAGCACAATCTTTGTTAAAGAGAACCAGTTGGAATCAGTGATAATCCAAGCCTCCACTTTTGAGATAGAATAGTGCAGCCTTTCCTCTCAGGGATTACCTGTTTTTCTTTTTTACCTTGTATTCTTTCCCTGTCAGAGATGAGATACCAGGCTGTAAGGTTTTCTAAATACTCTCTGAACTCAGTGCTTATAACAGACACATTTGAAGAGTATTATAACAAAGCTGCCATCAGGGTTTGTTGTAAGAAAACCTAAGGCTTAGGGGATACTTATCAGCGTTGAGCAAGAGACATCAGCCTTTGTGGGGTCCTTACAGCCTGAGATGTCTGCATGGACAGGGAGAGAATACAACTTTCTTTTGATGTTCTGAGATCCCATTTGTGATGGAAAATGGTTGAAATAGATGGAAAATTAGCATGTGTATTAACACCTTCAAAACAGGAAGAGCTGAGCTGGACACCAAGCACACCTGCTAAAAGAATAGGTAATACCCTTACCTTTGTGGCCTGTCAATAGAGAACCAAATGCTAGTCATCATCTGTGATAATTCAAACCTCCACTCTTGAGATAGTATATTAGTGCAGCCTTTCCTCTCAGGAATTGCCTGTTTTTTTTTTTTATTTGTATTCGCTCCCTGTCAGAGAAGTGGAATGAATTGTTTGAGGAACACAAAACTCAATTTAATGTCCCAGCTGACAAACATTTAACCTTTGTATAATGACTGCAGAAGGCCGGCGTAACTCTCGCGTACACTCAATCTTGACATAAGGAGCACCTAAAGTTCTATATCCCAATCTTTGTTAAAGAGAAACAGTTACCAGTTGGAATCAGTGATAATCCAAACCTCCACTCTTGAGATAGTAGAATAGCGCAGCCTTTCCTCTCGGGGATTACCTGTTTTCACTTTTTTACCTTGTATTCTCTCGCTGTCAGAGGTGAGATATCAGGCTGTAAGGACTTCTAAATACTGTCTGATCTCAGTGCTTATAACAGACACATTCGAAGTGTAATATAACAAAGCTGCCATCAGGGTTTATTGGAAGAAAACCTAAGGCTTAGGTGATTGATAATTATCAGTGTTGAGCTCAGGCAAGAGACATCACCCTCCGGGGTCCTTACAGTCTGAGATGTCTGCACTGACAGGGAGAGAATACAACTTTCTGCTGATGTTCTGAGATCCCATTTATGATGGAAAAATGGTTGAAATTGGTGAAAAATGAACGTGTGCTAACACCTTCAAAACAGGATGAGCTGTACACAGAGCGCACCTACTAAAATAATAGGCAATACTCTTACCTTTATGGCCCGTCAATAGTCATATAGCCTAACCTTTATAAAAGAGAACCAAATACCAGTCATCATCTGTGATAATTCAAACCTCCACTCTTGAGATAGTATATTAGTGCAGCCTTTCCTCTCGGGAATTGCCTGTTTTGTTTTTTTCTTGTATTCTCTCCCTGTCAGAGAAGGAGAGCCTAAAGTTATATAGCCCAATCTTTTTTAAAGATAAGCAGTTACCCATTGGTAGAGTAGAATAATACAGCCTTTCCTTCCAGGGATTGCCTGTTTTTTTTCTTTTTTGCCTTGTATTCTCTCCCTGTCAGAGTTGAGAAATCAGGCTGTACGGTTGTCCTAACTTCTACCTGAGCTCAGTACTTACAACAGATTAGAATTGTCCTATAACAAGGCTGCCATCAGGGTTTAATGAACGAAAACTAAAGGCTTAGCTGATTATTCATCATCAGCCCTGAGCTCAGACAAGGGACAGATCACCCTTTGTGGGGTCTTTGCAGCCTGACATTTAACTGACATGTCTGCTCTGACAGGGAGAGAATACAACTTTCTGGTGATGTTCTAAGACCCTTTTTGCAATGAAAAAGAGTTGAAATTGGTGGAAATTTAGAATATGTATTAACACTGTCAGAACAGGATAAGCTGTGCACAGGCACACCTACTAAAGGAAGAGGCAATATCCTCCCTTACCTTTTTATAGCCTGTTAATTAAAATGCCTCTGCTTCGACGCTGCAAATATTCAATCAGTCGAATGGGGCAAATGTTTTTTTCTCACTCTACACTCTATGGTTCCTCCCACCAGATTATTTATCCTGCAGTGATGTTATGTACAGGGGCGGACTGACCATTTGGAAACTCGGGCACTGCTATATATTTATCCATAAGGAGTTGTTACCTATACCTTGGTGCTAGCTGCTTTGTAGTTCCAGCGCTCGCCTACACTTGATATTTTATATTTGCAGTCTCTAGTTACAAGCCTCTTAACTATGGCGCAGGGGAGGACTGACCATTTGGAAACTCGTGCACTGCCCAAGGGCCCGGGGTCAGTAGGGGGCCCCATGAGATGCCCCTGGTACCTTTTTCATAGGCTTTTTTGAGTTTGGGCAAGGACACAGGGGCCCCATGATCCCCTATTGCCCGGGGGCCCCATGTGTTGTCAGTCCGCCCCTGGTTATGTACAGTATAAGCTAGGGAGAGGAACTGCAATGTGCGGAGGGGGAGCACATTATTCACACATGTGCACAAAACTTGCTGCGGCTGGGAGGATCAGCGTTTTTAGACACGGGCCACTAGAAAGGTAAGAATGGTATCTCTTCTCTTAGCATTTGGACTCATTGTGCTTGCACTACTACTGCCAGTCTGATTTAAAGTGCGCAGGCAATTTTGGGAGGCCAAAATAAGTACATGTTCTTGGTAATTATGTGGCTTATTTTTAAACACATTTAATAGGTAAATCCATACATATGTTAGCTGTATGAAGGTATCATTTTTTATGTCTCTTATGCTGCGTCAATATTTTTTTTGCAGCCCCCCTCAATTCATTGTCCCACTCTATTGTCATTTCACAGATTGGCTCACCGGATTAAATGTTGTAACTAGATAATACTAAAGAAAATAAATTCTATTCTTCAGTAAAACACTGTGGCAATTATTATTTCCAATCAGCTGAAAGGAACAATCCATTCAAACTAGAAGTCTACCGGTAACATGGAATTCCATGCAGGGAATATGGCATAACCATCTCGAACTCTGGTTCAATATACCCTGCCAACCTCCTGCTGAAAATTCCCTGGTTGGTACTGTGCATGCAGGGGTGGGTGATTCTGTAGTCCTAATACACCTCCTGTTCTAGGTTCAATGGAGAGGGAGGCAGGTTAACCCTAGGCAAAGGACCAAGAGTGCCATCACGCCAAACCAACAAATAACTACAAGCAGGGGTGGACTGACAACTCATGGGGCCCCTGTGTCCTTGCCCAAACTCAAAAAAGCCTATGAAAAATGTACCAGGGGCATCTCATGGGGCCCCCTACTGACCCCGGGTCCTCGGGCAGTGCCCGAGTTTCCAAATGGTCAGTCCGCCCCTGACTACAAGGTAAGAACCAAGGACTTTCTAGCAGAGTCGGATCTAGCCTATCTGATTTAGGGGTGCATTTTTAAAAAGTCTGGGGGCATAATGCAACAGTGATGCAGGGAACCAGTATTCCCCGTTCACTCAGTGCACTTTTGTACCATGAGTCATAACCCGGAAATAAATGCAGACAGACATGGCCCAGAAGTGAACAGAGAACACTAGTATGTATTGAGCTGTATAGGATGATTAAACAGAACCTTCCTCCTTATATCAAGTGTCCCCGTCAGAGTCTCCTCTTATATCAGATGTCCTCTTCAGAGCTTCCCCTTTCCTCAGGTGTCCCCATTCGGTGCCCCCTTAATCAAAATACCTCTTTACATCAACTATCCACATCAGAGTGTCCCCTTACATCAAATGCACCATCAGAATGTTCCTTACATCAACTTTCCCCATCAGAGCCCCTCTTAAAGCAACGGTCCCTGTTAGAGGCCCCCTTACATCAACTGTCCCCATCAGAGTGCTCCTTACATCAACTGTCACTATCAGAATGCCCCTGTACATCAGTTATCCCCATCAGGGTGCCCCTTGCATCTGAAATCCTCATCAGAGTCCCTCTTTTCATCAGGTATCCCCTTCAGAGAGCCCCCTCTCTTCAGGTGTCTCCATCAGGGTGCCCCCTTGCATCAGAGTACCTCCTTACATCAAATATCCACATTAGAGTGGCCCCTTACAGCAACTGTCCCCATCAGAGTGTCCCTTATATT